CAGTGTGATTCTAGATTGATTTCAGGAGAATCCCTCTGTATTTAAATCCGAGAAGCCTGAAGCAGAGTGTGTCCCTCTAATATCCAAACCCTGTATACGCACAATTTCTTTACTCTGCATAACAATCATGTAAGAGAGAGATTGTAAAATAAGTATTTCATGAATTAAAACCAGAGGCAGATCTTCCCTTGGGAACAGTAGTGTTCAACTCCATCAGAACTTAATACCTGTTGATAACTTCTTTCAATGTTTTATTTCCCTCTTGCTCTAAGTGTGGCAGGACACTTACTAGCACCAGCCATGGCACCGAAACACACCAGAACTGAAAGTATACACAGTGCCTGAGCAGGGGGGGAATCCTGTTGTACCCCTACCAACTGAAAAACAGTAAAACTGCCACTGATAAAAAGACAATAAATGGATTGCCCATAGCCCCACGCACAGACAGGTGCAACGCTGAACCGGAAAGCAGGGCATCCTCGTTCTGAATTTGTACTACTTTTCCAGTGCACAATTGCTCAAGCACAAGCTCAGTGCGTAGGTACTGAAGGCCTCGCTGGCTACACCTGCATACTCACATGGGAAAAGGTGGGTGTGATTGCTGTTTGTCTGCTTGTTTGTTTTAGAATCAACCTTTTCGCATTGAATTGTGAATACAAAGCTCCAAAAACAAATGTTAATATAATTCACAGAGTCACATTTTTAGATTTGATTTTCTTTGGAAATTCAGTCTGCATGATGATTTTGATCAAATACCTTGGCTTCTAACGTTTGTAATATATGGCAAAATGCAGACAACAAAAGAAATGTTTGTGTTTAAATAATCATATAAGTAGAATGCACACTGTGACAGAATATGAATTATCTAACAGGCTACGGAGCGATACAAGTTCCGTCCAGAAGACGGATGCAACCACTCAGCATGATTTGAACACTGAAGACAAGAGTGTAATTGTAATCCTCTGCCTGCTTTAAGTGAAGCTATTTTAAAATGGAAGAAAAAGGGGTAAAATTGAAGAAACTGTTCAGAGCTTGACATAAGGCATTTGGCTAAAAACTCATGTGCTAATTGTTTAAGATTTACACCATGGAACCTAGATGATTTAAAGCAATGACTCGCACTAAATAATGCCCTGAGTTTACCTCAGGAGCAAGACTACATTTGGGAACTCTTGCATGCAGTCTAGGCCTTTGTGGGGATCTGGCTGCAGGACTGAAGGTTAAACCTCTTTATTTGCTCATTGACTATAGGAAGGGATGTAGTGATTTTCTGAATAATATTAATCATTGGACCTTCCCTCACCTTTTCCCTCATGGGATGATCTCACCTAATGAAAATTCGAGCTGTGCTGCTAAGCTGAGATTGGCAAAAGAGTCACTTGTTCTTTACATGATTGGATAAATATGCAGCTGTTTTTGGAATCAATTGTTGTGCATGTGGAATTAAAAGCTATTCTTTTCAAACGCTCCAGCATGTATGCAACAGAATTCAGTCACCTGAAATGTCATGGATAAAAAATACAAAAGATGCAAGAGCATGACAAGTAAACTTGGAAAATCAAATGAATGCTCCTGGATAATATTTTGCCTCTACACCTTCACCTGTTTTTTTAGTTCAGGCAGTTCTTCAGAGTGTAAATGTTTCCATGTTGTTACAGGTTTCCCCTTATCACAAAGTACTATGTTCCCTTTAAAACTGGCCCAAAAAGGCTGTAGCTGTTGAATTTCTTGCCTGGCTTGGAACTTTTCCTTCTGTTATGTTTATTTTTAAAGATAATTCTGTAATTTCTAGATGATAAAAAATGAAATATAGCTATTTTGGTCATTTCTCATGTTTCTGGAAATCTGAAACAGTTTCAGAAGCAGACTGTTCTGCTCTTAACTCATTCCTTACACTTTGCTCTAAGCACGTGAGTGAGACCCATCACGCACGCCTGGAAGGGAGGGGGGGAGCAAAGCCTCAGCAGCTCCCCTCAGCGCCTGGTGCCTGAGGCACGAGTGGTCCCAGGGGAGAGCTGGGGACTACTGCAAGCAACAGTCGCATCAGCTGGGGGCTCTTCCTCTGAGGGCAGCAAACCTCTCTGTACCACCAGACCCTGCTGACCCTATGTCTATGCAGTATAGTGCTGAATTCAATAAGATAACAGTTGTTATCACGGTGCTTTTTATCTGGGAGGCAAAGTCCAAAATTGCACCTGACCTCTGTATGCACAGAGACGCCAGTGATGAGCTCTCTGCCGAGATTCCCAAAGGTTTTAGATGAAATTGGTAAGAGTGAGCTACCTAAATGAATACTTCAGAGGATAATAGCATCTGTGTGTTTTGCCCATGTAGTACATGGTAGTCTCTGAACAGTAATTTATCCAATCAAATCACATATTGTGAGGCTTAGAACACAACTGGACTTTCATGGTTGTCTTTCCCAAAGTGGGTTACTAATATTTTAAAAATATTTATTTGCTAATGCAATCATATGAGTAATTAAACCATCTAGAGTATAGATTTGCCTTACATATTTATAAGTCAAGTTTCAGGTTTCCCTAGGTCAGTGATGTCTAGCAATAAAGCTCCATAAACATGGATTTCATTAATAATACCAACAGGTTATATATGACAAAAAGTTTAAAAAAAAAAAAAAAGTGTGGGTGTCTCCATCTTTGCACATATTTACTTCTGTACAGCACAAGCATAGGGAAATCAAATCAAAAACGCACACTACTTGTCTAGACAAATAATCCTTTCAAGCTTTGCTAATGCAGTGGACTGATTTCTTATTTTTCCTTTGTATTGTATGACTGCTTGTCCAGTCATATGTTTAGATTTCAATGGGCTAAAATTGCTTCACTCCAAAATTAAATACATTGGAATTCTGTTCTGACTTGAAAGAACAGATTCAAATCCACGTGTGCCTGGTAAAGCATGGCAATTATGTCCGTTCCACAAAACTGACAACTGCATCTAGTTCTTCTTCTGCATTTGATCCGATGATTTGGTCTAATTTGGAGAATATATAACAGTTACACAGTCAGATTAAGACTTATTTAGAAAATTAAAACACGGTGAGAGACGTTTAATTTGTTTTGTCAGTAAGTATAAAAGAGCTAGCTTGCATTTCCAGAAACAGTCTGAAGTTCAAATACTCTGATTCAGCTAAAATTAGGCTAATTATATGTTGGACACACAAAAATCCTCATGAAAAGAAAATTATTGAGGTTATAATGTCAAAACCTGAAAAGATAGGAAATACTGCAATTAATATGTAATCAGTTTGACTATCTGGTATATATGCTATTATATTATCATACAATTTGCTCCACAGACAGAGCCTTGTTCAATATCTCAGCTATTTAATATCTTACTTAGTCCTGCTATTTACCTGTTTACTGTACTTTATTCAAATTCTGTTGCCTAAAATCATATTGATTTCTTTTTTATTTTCTTTGTTTTGTTTTCCTGTGGTTCTTATCACTAGAAAATCTCAGTGCTTCACAAATACTAATGCTTATTTTGCCAGCATCTAGATGAGGTAGAGGGGAGGTGGGAACCTTCTACGTAAGGGGTACAACAGCAGATGAAGATTCTGTGATTTTGAATACTTCTTTTGAGATACCGATGACATAATTTTTCAGAATCAGAGTAAAGTGTTCATATATTTAAAACTTTCTTTTGCCTGATTTCTGCTGCAACTGTAAGTGCTTGGTATTATGTGATTAAAACTCAAGTGTAAGCATCCAGAAAATGAGAATATAGTTGACAACCACATGTAAAAAGTATGGTTTATATAACCTGCCAAATATAAACAGGAGTTTTTGGCAGAAACAGAGAAAGTCCAATTTTCTTGGGTAACACTTAGTAGCCTTGTCCGTGCAAACTTACTTTCTCTTCATGTATTCCCTTGCTTTAAGGCTAATTGGTTAATTGTCACTATTTCCCTGAAACTCTTCATTTTTTGGTTTTCTTTCTGGACATATTTGTCACTTACATGAACTGTCCCAGATTTTCTACTTCTACTCATCATTTAGAGGGGAAAGCTGTTATCTCAGTCTTTTTTGTTTATGATTTGCATTTGTTTTAGAGCATTTTATAACATTTGGCAGTACAGCAAATTTTCTAATATTTGGCTAATCAGTGTCAGTAATTACATTTTCTCTTGCGTTTCTCAGTCTCATAAATCAAAAGCAAGCTCTTGTAGAGATCTCTCTTTAATATGTGTGGAGAAGAATGAGGAGAGGCAGGGAGACAAGGTGAAAGAAAAACATAAAAGGACTTTCCAGAGTTTGTAGAAGTAGATGATCAAAACAGTTATAAAGAATAAATCTTAAGAACCTACTACAAAAGAAATAGGTAACAAAACCCTAACTCTATAGCTACGGATGTGGTATTTGCATTCAGATGTTTACAAGATCTCTGTTACTCAGAAAAGCTGATAAATATACAGCTGAGCATTGAAACAACATCTGCTTCTAATAATATTTATGCATAATGGCAGCACCTATTTTTAAGTTTGTCAAGTGTATCTCAACTTTTAGCTTTTGCCCAATTTTCACTCTTATACCAGGTAATAAGCCAGGGTTTTGCAGTTTTCTATTGTATATAGACATAGTTTAAGGTATGAAAGCAGACCATTAAATTACTCAAAAAGTTGAAGTTTAGTACAGAATAAAGTGAACACGGAGAAATCACCTTCTGACTTTTAGTAAGAATTTTTTAAGTTTGAGTTAATATGCTAACGTTTTAGTACACAAAACTTATTTCACAGTTGCAAAACATGCATATTTATATATTTCATTGGGGGTTCCTCCAGGCGTTAGCAAAAGAAAGAGAGAGAACACTAAAAGCACAGTCAGTTTACTGGAGGCGCCACAAAAGTTTGGGCAATTTGGCATTATTACAGCTCGTAGAAGTTTTGCTCATTTTCTGCTCTAGCTGCACGTGCTAGTAGCATACAGACGCAGAGGCAGCAAGGTTGCAGGAGAAGGGCAACTCTCAAAGTTACTTACGTTGACAGCCCAAGCTGTGCCAGATATATCCCGGCAGACATTTATCACATTTAGGCCCTGATGTTCCCTCCTTACACTCACAAAATCCTCTGTCATTACAGCGATCATGGACTGAACCAAAAGGGTTACAATAACAGTCTGCAGAAACAAGACAATACACACACTGGATTCAGGTCTACATATGGTAATAATTCATTCAATACCAGTAAAGGGTGCATTTCCAGTATTAAAGGAAGACTGTCTATTAATGATATATGGAGCAGTGCACATAATTCTATACTATGGACTATAGGTTCATTTATTTGTTTAAACATGTCATTTCAGGAGGAGACACTTCATGGTGTGAAGAGAAAAAGTAAACAGAGAAGATATAATGGAAGAAGATACTATGTTCTTTGAGGACAAGTGACTTTAACAGAGATTCTGTTTTGGTAAGAATGTTTTTGACAGTTTAATGAACATTAGGAAAGGTTTGTATAGTATAGCTATATCAATATGCCATTAGGGTGAAATGTTTTACATTATTAAAATAGGCTTATCTATATCGCTCAATATTTTGAGAAGTGCTGAATGTCTTTATAGGGCTATATAAAGGCACTTTACTTATTTCCAAGATAGTCTTCCTTTATAGTTTGGAGTAGTATATCGACTTATATGGATATTTGTCATTAAATTGATGACAGTATATTTATCAGTAACGTTAACCCTTCTACATATTCCACAAAGATAAACTTGAAGTGAGCAGTGAGGCAATGTGAAACTTGCTTAGAACTGGCTTTACACCAGCCGTTTTCATTCCATTTTTCTTGCATCTCAGTGGGTAGATGGAAGATGCAAGAAGGCTGACTCCCTGCTGTATACTTTCCAGACGTGTGTTGACCTAAGTCAAGAATGACTAGGGTAACCAGTTTCCCCCCACAACTCTTATTGTAGGGGAATACGTTTTCTTCTTCATTCACAGCCCTTTTCTTTAACATAATTGCAAAATCAATGTTCAGCTTTCAGCTAGCTGAACCAAGAAGGAGATAAAACTGTTGCTAGCAGAGCTCCTTTTTTGGCACTCCTGTTGTTCATTTTTTTCCCTTTTTTAACTGAAGGGCGATATCTTATTTGTATGTAGACCCATGTAGACCCAGAGTAACTCCACTGTCAACTGAGACCACAGACACACTTATGTTTTGGCAACTTCTCTGATCTCTGCTGCTGTTGAAAGCAAAAGATACAAATCGATTCCTGAATCTGGGCAACCTGCTGGGAGTCTGGCTTTATATGTCTTTAAAACAGTGTTGCTTTGATGACTATCTTTGGCAGCTGTTCTCTAGCATTATGTGAAGCTCAGTAATATTGTAAATGACAAAATGAAGTTGAACTGGGAAGTGAAGTATTTAAAAATCCAGTGGAAAAACTGTAACAGAAAAAGTGTTACCAGAAACACATTTGTCATCTGTTGTCGCAGTGTTTATTAACTATAAATTACAGATGACACTTTGAACATTTGGCATGCTAAAGAAGAACAGCTACCTTTGGCAAACATAGTTCCACAATAATAATCCAGTCAATTAGCCAACAACATTCATTAATGGAGCTGAATACTGAAATGCCAAAAATACTGTGCCAGACTGAGCACAATTGTACCTCAGTGAGCACCATCTGAAAAGCTGGCAATTCTGATGTTAATCAGATGCATGGAACCTTATGTAAACAGGCACAGACCTGAGATAGATATTGAATGCAGGAAGTCAAATTTGTTTAAAAAGTATTTATAGACCACCTTGAAAGACAAAAAGCTTGGAATTACATTAGAAACAGAGGGCCCAATTCTCATGCATTAAAAACAGCTTAGATGAATATAATGCAGTGATTTAAATGAGTATTTGTGAAAGGAAAGTAAGGCCTATGATACTGAATGCTATCGATACATAATATGTCATCCACGGAAGGAGAAGCTGACCTAGGGCCAGTGAAAGCAGGCCTGCTGAATTCTATCACATGGGTATGTTAGAAGGACGAGGCTTGGACTTCACTATTTCCAGTGTCTACTTTCCCTTAAACAAAACTTTAAGCTAAACCCTTTTACACAAGTGGTAGGTCAAATCAGAAGACAGTGTAGACCTTAGGCCCAGTAACATTTGGTAACTGAATCTAGCCTCCATCTTTCCCAATTGATACCACAGATATATAATCTGGAGGGGTCCACAGAGCATCTACTTCACAGGCCAATACAATACCACAGGCTGCGAAACACTTCCCAAGACCTGCTGCATACTTCAGACATTATAAAGACCAAGAGCCCCAATGCCAGCATTTCACGGGAAGACGCTGGGTGTCATCCATGTCCTTGCAACAACTAGGCATTAAATAACACTCACAGCCCATCCTCGCAAGAAAGCCGCACCCCAGGTTTTGAGGAGGGGAAAAACAACCTCTGCTGATCTGAACTGAGAAGGAAATTTCTTCCTGACCTCAACCTGAGGACTGTTTAAAGGGTGGGAGGATGACAGTAGTAGACATCTGTTCACTGAGATTCACCATATTAATTTGATGTTGCCAAGAAAATACATTGAAAATAAGTAAAAGGAAGGTTGGGAAAAGTGGTCTGAAGCTTGGAGGCTTGCCGTTTGTCAGTCTGGGTTGACAGTGGCTGCAGGATAACCCTCAAGGTTCATATGTACCATTAGAGTTTATAGGGCTCTCACAGCTGTTAAATGAAGCTGAACCAAAGTGACTGCAAGTTTGACTTTGTTACAGGTGTGAGACAATATTTACCATTTAAGTATTTATTTCAAAAGGCAAAGAAAACGATGTATTACTCTGGGTCTACTTGGTCATATCCATGCTTGCCAATGTATTCACTGAAATAAAGTGTTGTTAGGGCTTTGTCAAGACATTCTAAAAATAAAAATCCCTTCATGTTCTGTTAAACTTTTTTCCAATGTAAGCATGTCAAGTTAACTCTTTTTTACTTTAAAAGACATTCATGTATTTAAAAATTACAATTGCCTGTATGAGGTAATTTTGCAGTTAATTGACAAATCCAGAAATTTTTAATATTTCATTTTAGGAAATAAAAGTAATTTATTTTACATCTAAAGAAATTAAAGGTATAATACATTTAGATTTAAGCCCATTGTATAGTGTGGTTGCATTTGATTCACTGGTAAAAACCTTCTCAATATTTCAATTCTCTGCAACTTTGTCACTTTAAAAAATGAAACATTTTACATTTTCTCCATTTAGTTTAACGTTGGCTAAGAATCACATACTTGTTATCTGTGTACTTACCACACGTATTTATTAAAACTAAGTAGTTTTGACAAATCAGAGCCAAAACCCTGTTAGCTGCCATTAAACTAGTTTATCCAAACATTTCTGATTTTGTCTAAACTTATGGCTGGAGATGAAAGAATTAACTTAGAAAAGTGAGACTTTCATACGAGAATAAGACTTGCATATGTCACTGGAAATCTGCTTATTAAATGTTCATGCCAATGTTCCACTCATATAGTTAAAACCTCAAACTGCTCTTAAACTCAGAGAAAAGAAAAATGAGCATTTCCAATAGAGCAAGACACTTTGTGCTTGACCCAGAAAGATGGTGAATTCATCAACTCTCTGGAGTTGGAGTTGAGAATACTCAGCATTTTGCAGGATTAAATCTTAGGAGCCCCAGTTCAGAAAAGCCCTTTAAGCAAAGATCTCTGTTTCCAGGAAAGTACTTACACATCTGCTTCACTCCACTGACTTTAAACCTGAAGCAGTATGAAAGTCTACCTGATTCGGTGAATTGGCTAGGATTCACAGATTTTGTATGTCATATGACCACTATGATCCTGAAAACTGTCCTAGTCCAACAAGAGTATTATTTATTTAAAACAAATTACCTAATTTTTAGCGAAACAGGTTTTGCGCCTGTAGTCGTTTCACATGGCACAGTTCGTATGGTAGCTCAGGAAAATTCTGCTTGCATTAAGGTGGAAAGGTCTGCAAATGTATCACATTGCTTTCTTGAAGAAGCTTCCTTTTAAATGAAAGGTTTTTTACTTTATGTCTACAGAGTCTGGGCAACTCTGAACTGCACAACTGTTTGTTTTACTATGAAGTTCTAAATATATCACTTGCAAATTAATTTAAAATGTACTTATTTTTAACTCTTGGTTTATTATCCTCCTTGCTTCACTGACAAAGCTTACAGATGCTGTCTTAGCATTTCAGTGTACATGGGACGACAATTTACTGAATGAGCTGATGAAAAATCCCAAATAGAGTAATTTAGTGTCATTTTCATTAGGTCTGTTTAGACAGTTTAAATTATACAACCCTGATGTCATGCCAGTGATGGCCTTCATCTACATCAAGCAAATATGAGGGACAGTGCTTTTTTTCAAGAACATTTGATTGAGTTAATCCCCTCAGCAGAGTCATACGAAATCATGACTTGCCTACTAAAGTTCATATTAGCTCACCCTAATTAATGTCAGAGGAGATCATGCATTTTGGAATATGTTGCCAAAGCAAAGTTAAAAGAAGGACACATGAAATGCAGTGTGTGGATGGATCTGGGTGTTTATCATGAAATAAAAGGTAAATCTGGCAGGCTGCGACTGAAACAAATAATAGCATTCCTAATAGTTTCTGACTTGACTCTTAGCAATGGATGATAAAGAATATTAAAATATAACTTACTTGCTCATAGTCTATTTCTGTGTGAAAATCTTATACCAACTTTTTTTGCTTCTTGGAAAATGAAAAATAAAAAAACCACAGTAGAAATTCAGAATGAGTTCCACTGATGCTTTTGTCTATAAGCAATATTACGTAATGCAATACTCCAGCTCTGTTTGTTGCTAGAACAGTGCCTTTTGTGGCTATTTGTTAACTACTAGCCACGGAATGAATCTTCCTTTAATGACTGTGTTCAGTCTTCATCTAGAGCGTCCTAACTTTCTTTCTCTATATAATGTCTGTGGTGATGTAAGCATGATGCATATTCTTCTAGTGTGATTAAGAACTTACATTTTTTCTAGAATGCTATTTTTGTTATGTTCTGACATTTTCTTTAATTCTGCATTTTGGATACTTGAATCAGATGCGAGGTTTAAAGCACAGTTTTCACCTAGGAATGCTATTTCTAAATTGACATAATGTTAAACTGATTTTGCAAGTTCTACTCCTAACTGCAAGGGCATAATTGCAGTCACTCCTCTAAGAGGGGAGTTAACACGGCATTTAGAGCACTGTGCCTGGGAGCAGGATTTGCTGCAAAATGCTTGTATACAAGCAGCTGGCGACTTTTGTAGGTCTCTGGGTAAGTATTCAAGGGCCTGTACAAATAACTGCAAAAGTTAGTCTGGGGACAAGGATTTATGACTCAATCCTTCAATTTTACACATGTGCAATTCCAGAGTGGCATCCCTTGCAGACGGGCGGCATGATCAGCTTCTCGGGGTCTTCCTGGGCACATCGTCCCAGGACTGTTAGCTAGGGAGCTTCATTGCTTACACAGACTCAAAACCCCTCCTTGGGGCTGCAGGGCCAACTGAGACAACTAGATTAAAGTCTACACAGATGTTCTTATCCATTGAAAAAGCTCATTCTGGCTCAACTGGCAAATAAGCAGCAGTGGTCCCTAGCAGCCGCCAGTCGCTGAAAAGGCACAGAAGATAAGCCGCAGTTATCCCGGGACTGACCTATGCACACATTTTCATCGTCCAGCTCTGCAGAGGCATTTCTGAAGTAGCCCAGCCTGCATAACTCACAGTGCTGACCTCTAGTGTTGTGCTTACAGCTCACGCAAATGACTGTATTGAGCAGCTCGATGTAACTGCACCGGTTGGAGTGGCCGAAGCATTCACAGTCTTTCAAGGAAGAACAGAAATGTATACAAAATGTATACAGCAGCAGAGTAATAGCACATTACATGCTTAGTAAAAATGAATTATGAATAGAAGTATGAATGAATGGCACAGACATGTTAATCAATGTAACATGGACAACAGCAGATGTTTATCTGCAATGGAAGTGAGCTCTGTTTCAGGCAGGTTAGAGCGACCCGACAACCACGGCATGGCGTTGGAGGTTGGCTGCAGTTGGCAGACCTGATGGAACTGAAGCATTTGCAGTTGTAAACCTTTCAAGGCTACAGGAGGCTTGGTTTCTACTGATACAAATGCACAGCTTTTTGCACATTTGAGGTGGGTATAAATCAAGACACAGGCAAAACTTCCTCATATTAAAAATACTAAATATGGTTGACAAAACTGTAAAACTTAAGCATACTTAAATCCACAACTATATATAAAGTAAAAAAGCTTTGTTTTGGCATAAGTGCTGTGTATTCACAACTACTGCTGAACTCAGGGGGTACGGTAAGTGATAGGCACCTGTGGGAACCAAACTGTTTTAGGACCTCCTAAACAGCCTCAAGTTTGACAATTTTGGCCAGCACCTTCTGAAACAATTAAGAGAGAAGAAAAGGAAGGAACAGAGGTGTTATTTAAGTGCCATTTCTACTATAGTTCTGAGGCAAACATGACCCATTTTTAAACTGAGAGGAAAAAGCAATTGGGCCAGAAAAGATCTTGAAAATTCTGAAATGTGTATTGAATAGAAAGCATGTTTATTGTAGCCATCTGAAATGCAGGCTGCATGACAGCCACTTTTAAAGAAACCTTTTGTTACACATAGAATGCTAGTGCTTCTTATAATTTTTCTAATCACAAACAATGAGTGGCTTTATGCAAGTAGAAATTAGAAAATTATATCATCATGTAAGACACTCCTATGCCTTGTGATGAAAGCTTGTGCAAGTCCAATCTCATCTCTGAGATTATGAGCCCAGAATGAATGCAGGAAAGGTTATTAGCATGATCCTATTTAAAAAGTGAAAACAGGATAATTTGGTTTGTTTAAGTCTACAGAACTGAAGACTGCAAGGAGATATAACTGTGGGATATAAATACATCAAGGAGATAGCCTTTTGCCTTCCTAGGTGAGTATCTGAGCTAATGGATAATACTGGCACAAGAACAAATGGGTAACAAATGGGTTAAATGGCCATTGAGAAATTTCAGCTGGAAATTAGGAGACAGTTACCTAGCCATTAGGGCGCTGAGGTTCTGGAACACACTTCCAATTCGTTGCAAAAACACTGGTGGTTTAACAATGCAGTTTGATAAACTGGTGAAAGAGATTATGATACGTTTCCTGCAGTAATGGAACAGTGGGTGCAGTGACTGGGAAGGGCTTCCAGGGTCTATGAAGTTAACTTAGCCTCCTATTAGATAAAGCTGTGCAAGAGTGTGTAAAATGCTTCCATAAATGAGAGGGGCCAAGTCCCCTGTGCTACTTTTCCTGTGGTACATTGCTTATTATGCTGGGGTGTCAAATGAGTCTCCTGATTGTTGGCTTGGGACTTCAGATATAATATGAGTGCCCGTTTTTATCTTTATAAAGTAATACCAGTACATGTTTCTGAGTTACGCACAACTAATACATATATATTTTTGCTGTCGTCTGACAGACAGCAGCAGATTGTAAATAGACTGCATCTTTTCTCGTACTGTACAGTTTTTAGCACAACGTGCATTCCAATCTTGAGAGCTGCCTTTCTGCTGCCAGAAAACGTTAATTCAATTTGCATACACAGTTTATATAGCCAGATACTTGTCCGCTTCAATGTTATTCAGCTAAACCAATGTTTTGTGGTTCATGTGAGCCTGATAATTTTGACACCTCTATCTGCTGGAGTTCAGTACAATGTATATGCACTGCCTAGAACAACGATACGAGGATTCTTGACTGATCGTATTCGTGGACCATCTCTAAGCATCTTAATTCAATTTCTAACTTGAAAAAAATGTAACAGTAGCTACCAAATATAACTATAAAATAAAGTGATAGCTCACTGGCATGCATTTGCAGAAGCAATTTATTTTAGTAATAGTTTACTTCTGTCACTAACTTGGTTTAAGTTGGTTTTGACTATTAACGATGTAACTAGACTTTGTCAGACCTAGGGGTATCAGTCTCAACGTGTTACCACTTGACACAATGCAGTGGGAAGGAAAAAAGTGTTAATGTCTCTCTTGTCTTGTACAGCACCTCAGCCAGCTGCCCGGCAGCTCTCCTCCACTAGCATATCCATTTTGCTCAAGTGAGAACTGCCTGTGTGGGGCAGAGGTATCATGTCTAAAAGTGGAAACTAGCGCAGGCAAACAGGAGTCACAGTGAAAATTGTAACAATGCTGTTTTAATGTGCTTTATTTTTAAACTAAGACAGACTGGTTGGTGATAAGCAATCCCATCGTTCTGAATCTCAGATTCAGCAGTGACTTTCTCTTAGTATCTCTGCTCTGACAAAGGCCCTGTTTGCAGCTACCATTACACAATTTGTCTTGGTGAGAAGAAAATACTGTGATGATAGGTTCATCAGACTAGTGGCTACCCATAATCATACAGCAGGTAAATTTAGAGGAAATAATTCACCTTGTTTTTCCAAACAGTAACAGGCAGCAGAATAACATTACATTTTTATGTTACAAAAATATGTAGACTGTAAAGAAGTGACAGTAAATCAGACTATGCTAGATCATCTTGTATGTTTAAAATAACAGAAAGAAATTGAGACCATTCTGTGAATGAATAACTGCATTACACGCACTCTGAAATTGTAGTGTGACCTTCACTGCTACTGCAACACATCATTAGCCATTACAAAAGCATGAGAAACAAAGCTGCAGGTAAAGTAATTTACTGCTATAACAGGGCTTACTCCAAGCTATGATTTGGACTAAGCATCTAATATTTAAAAAGGTTCGCCTTGATGTACATACATACTCTTAAACATATGCAGAAGGACTATACTGGTTCAGACGTGGCTCGTCGATAGATATTAAAGGTAAACAAAGAGACCAATTCTTATGCTTGGTTGCCTTCACATGGGTACTGCTCTTTTGTGCTGTGTGAAAGAAACAGCCTTTTTTCTTAAAGTTAATGTATGCTAAGATTTACAAAAAGTGCTGGACTCTCGATCTTCAGACGAGAGTCTGAAGTAAATGCTTTTCGTAGTAAATGCTACGTGGTATAGAAAACAAAAACAGTTAACTCAGGAACAGTCAAACAGCTGATTAAAGATAGCAATGGTGCAAAGGAAAAAACTGTCATGACATGTAACTAATGTTGCTTTGTTATTAAATCAAAATTTTGCTAATACAATAATATGAACTTATTTTGCCTGTTGTTATTGGCTTAAACAGTGAATAATTTTTACATCCCTCTAGCTTTATAAAAGTGATTTATATAACAAAAGCTATGGAAAGGGTCGTCATATGAACAAACGGGAAGTATTTTCTCTGCTGTTTACATGAGGCGTTACCCTAAACCAGTCAAATCTAACATGTTGAATTGCGTTCAGCATTGCCGCTGGGAATCTAAAACTTGTCAACGCTGTACGGACTTCCTAGCTGATCATGTGATTCTTCCTGACCAGCACAGAAAGACCAGAAAGTAGACTGCTAATCAGAACTGTCAGAAGCACAACTTAGTTTTTCTGTCTAGGAGCCCAACGACTTTCAATCATTGGCCAATCACTGAGAAAGATGGGGGGAAAAGTGGCAAAAGTCAGGTTGCGAATGGTTTAATGACAACAAAATGTCAAGAGCTTACAGTGCTGGAAAATGCTGCTTTCATTTCCTAGTATCACATGTCAAAGATATGGATAAACGGGAGACAGTTTTTAAGCTGAATAACAATACACGTAAGTGGTTTGGAAAATAAAACCTCAGAGGAAGGGTAAAGATAGCCAGGTATGTTTAATGTGAAGAAGTGATAGCCAGGTGAGATTTGATAGCTATCTCTGGTGGTTCAGGAACTGAATTGACTGTTTGACTGTATAAGCCTTTAAAGGTGATTTCCCATGCAATGATTCTACTGCAACAATCCTGATTCTGTTGTACAAAGCAAAATAAAACTACCTGTTGAAGGATACTCCTAGAAAGGTTGCTCATTAATTTTTTTGTTTCTGTAAATTGAACATTCCTTTCTTTCCTTTGTAATGCTACGCATTTACGCTTTTGAGAGGATATGTTATAGTGCTGTAGGAATTAGGTTCAGCTCAAGCTTCAGCCAGAACCAATAAAACGGTCACATGAAATGATGGTAGACACACATGGAAGGGAAACATAATGTTTAAATTAAGACACTCAATAGGTAATGCATGAGACAGCTATGAGTATCATTTTCTAATTAAAAGCACAAAGAATATTTCAAGAAAAGTGCATTCAAAAATAAAGGACTTTTTTTTTTTGTCATTTTCTGACAATTCTGTGTTTCTCTTCTATACACTAACAAAAGTGTATATGTTTCTCTTCTATACAGTAACAAAAGGAGACTTTCATCATAACCTTAGAAATAACCTGCTTTGTAACAAACAGTATGGCTCATTATCATGATCTCATCAAGTGGGTCAAACTAAGTTCAAATATTTGTTAATATCCCTGTTCCTTAGTAACATTATTTCACGAATAATGAGATATTCACAATAGCTGCTGAAAGACAAAACATTTTATACATAATCTTTACAGATAAATTGATGAGAAAAAACAATGAGAAGTTCTCAGCACGCGTGAGAGAGTTCAGACTGTGAATGATAGATATGCAAATGAAACAGGTTGCCTATAAGTCACCGAGAGAATATTGGAATCCTTCATTATGCCCATGTAATTCCATTATTTTGATAAAACACTGAAGTATCAGCTCAAAATGTAATGCCTACATTTGGAATTTGCACACTATTACAAGAAAATGAAGATGTAAGGCACACTTACAATCCATTAAAAGATGTAGCTATATATACCCT